ACTTTATCACTGGTCACTTGGCTAATCATGTAATGCAGCCTGTGCAGGTGTTATGTGACCCACTTGCAAAGCACATCCTATTCTTACCTGTGATAATGAAATTCTGTAATTTGATCATCATCCCGTGTGATCGCACAGCACACACCATGCTGTTGACAGTATGCTGCAAGACCCCATTTTTCCTAATTCTACAAACGCAGTGTGACTAAGTTTTGGAAAATCATTTCCTTTTGCTCGAGTGCACAACTCTGCTAAGGTCTCATGCTGGTCCTTCAAATGCTTCTTCTTAAGCATTGCCGAGACATTTGAACTGACTCATGTAACCATTTATGTTTCCGTTCTTCGCATCAAATAGTCTAATGCAGCATGCAGATAAGCAAATTGGCTAACTTGTGTGAGACATTCTATGAAAATGAAGGCGACAAACTTTGTAGTTTAACTTTTTTCCGGCATGCAAATGCTTTTGATGAAATACAATGACTTACTGAGGTGCGGTTGATGGCAGTTGCGGTGGTGGGGGATAACTAAAGTTGACATTTAAATATGCTAAAGTGACCATTTAACTGTTTATGTGCATATCCATCCATCTACCTATTCATTAAATCGTCTCATGTAGGCTGTAGATAGGTGGATTGGCTGAGGTGTATAGGAAATCATGTCGTAATGATACTAAGGAATTTTTGTAGTTTGACTTTTATCTGGTAAGCAAATGCAATGGTGCTTCTGATGCAGCCCAATGACTTACTGAGGTAATGGTGCTGCAGGTAATGCTCTGTGTCTTGGATTCTCACTAAAGTAAAAAAATTTTGTGATTCTTTTAGATGGAAATCCCTTACTATTTACAGCCAAAACGCAAGGAAAGATTAATGTGGCTCTAACTACCTATCCCTCTAGATTGCCACATCATCCATTCACACAGGTAACGAATTTTCAGCCGCTTCAGAGTTAGAGAACATAACATTATGGTACTAATCTTGAAGTCTCATTACTTAATTACAGTAAATGAGTGTTTGCCCTGGTCAGATCAACTGCAGGATGGTAAGTCCGCTTACAATTGAGCATTTGAGGGGAGTCTGGACACCTGCATTAACTGTGTTTGCTAGGAAGCAACTTCTGCTGTGATGTCAAATGTGAATTCCTTCTTCATGTACGTCGCTGTACCAAAAGTCTTGCAATTTGACCATTCTCTATCACCCTGATGGTGCTGTTGTAATAATATTACCTCACATGCATGAAGAGCTTAACCATCCGCCTTAAATTAGCCAAAAGTGTCCGAGTTCTCATAACGATCGCTTCCACGGAGAATAAAGGTAAAAAAGGAATTTACTATAGTACAAATATAGCTTGGGATTGGGTAATGATGATGTTAGCTATTTTTAAGTTGTCAAATTAGTCACCTAGGTTTAAACGTTGAGGCTAAACTGAAATATGATTCAACTACTCCCTATTTATCCAAATTTACAATGCACTCATATTTCAAGATGTTTCAAAGGAAATCGTCAGTGCTATTTCAACTGAACTTTTAGTCTGTCTAACCGCTGAAGAAAATGATGAATTTCATGATATTTAGGATTTTAAAACCCTTGCAAACTTCGGCAAGGGGAGGAAAAGTTGCAACGGTGGAAATTTTTTCGTTTTTATTATCAGTCAATAGGTTGAGAACTTTTATTAGCATGCTTGATTTACAGATATCTGTCCAATCATCTACCAATCTGTCACTTCGTCAGCCCACGTCGTCCTGCTTCCTCTAGCTTCTACTTCGCTTTATCATTCATAACAACCACAGGCAGTTTATACACCTTATCCTCCCCTTCTTCCTCCAATTCTTGATAATCTCAACTGATGAATGGGTGGTTAGTCACTAATAACCAGCTGCAGTAGGGAAAGAAAAGGACCGCAAAGCAAGATTTCTGTATAG